TTAGATTTATTAAATCTAACTATGAAGTGGATTTAAGGTGAGTGGCTCGTAAGGTCTGCAGAGGTTAGATAAATCTGACTTCGTTGGAATTGATAAATCATGTTTAATAGAAATCTAGGTTACAGTGAAACACTCCTTAATATCATTTATTTGGCATTCAAAACTCCGTGTGGCATCAGTCTCCCCTTCATCTTTCAAAAGTGTTAGGAGAAAAAACACGAATACATATTTTCCTAGTTCATTTGTGGACTCCCTCACTTCTCACTTTCAATAGTCGAAGTCGGAGTTGTCGCAGAAGATACTTAGAACCTATGAGGTTTTATTCTCCCTCAAAATTATCATTCGCTTAAAGGGAATGTTAATTTGTCTTCTTTTGTTGCTGTTGTTTTTTTTCTAGCCCACTGACCTCACTCTTTAGCGAAATCCCTCACTCAGAGAAGTCAGAGTTGGAGTCATAGCAAAAGATACATACGTATCCAAATCCGAACGTAGTTTTGATTTTGAATAGCGTTGCGAGGTTTCATTCTCCCTGCTTATCATCGCTAGAAGGTAATGTCCATTTCTCTACTCTTGTTGCTTGTTCCATTTTTTTCCCCATTTAGGATTTCTCATTTTAAATTTTGTGCTCCCCTTGTTTCTGTTGATTGAGTTCAATGCTTAGCGATAATTGAGCATGTCAATTAAACGATTATCTTTTTTTTTTTTACACTTGTGTAGATCATTTGTATTGTCAAAGTGCAGCTATTAGAGAATGTCTGCTCATCTCCCTCTCTCTCTCTCTCTCTATGACTTAGATTTATGTTCATCATTCAACAATGTCATAATGTCCTTTTCTATTATTTTATTGGTTGTTTTTGTTTTTTTTTCTCTTTTTAGCATATTGTGTGTTGTTGCTCTTTTTGTGTATCGTGCTTTTTTTTTCAAATTTGTTATTTGTATTTTATAGCATGTTTGAATTGTTACATTGACAAAGTTAGATAAATCATTGAATTAAAGAATAGGTTGAATGCAAACATACATGCTTTATTAAGGAAATTAAGCAAAGTTAATGATTTTTGTTGTGTGCAAGTTTGGTCTGGTAGTCTCATGATGGCATTGATCCTCTATCTTTAAATCTTCTAGCTAAAGCAAATGCCGGTTTTGAAATCTAATTTATCAATAATTTCTCATAGATCACACTCATGAGTGAGTGTTTTTTTCTAAGAATCTGCACATTTAGAAGCATAAATGTTGATTTTAAAAGTATGTTTTGCTTACCAAAATATTTCAATCAATTCTTTTATTCATTCTATTGAGGTTTATCATATTTTCTTTTAGTATGCAGAACTCGTGTCATTCAATTAGAAAGGTGGATTTAATTGTGGATGGAAATGAGTCATTCTCAATCACATTTAAATATGGTAGATATTGGATGAAAGCTAAAAACCGATCAAGAATGAGATGATGGTGGGGAGCAAAAAACTATAATTATGATTCAAAAAGACAACGTGAATCCACATATACTAAGGGATGAGATGTTAAATTTTTATTTATGGCTCACATTTATTTTAATAACTTATGAGATTTAATTTGATAACTTAAGTTATTTATTTTCTTAACTCGTAACTTATTTCATGATAAATGATAACTTATGTTATTTAATTTTATAACTCATGATAAATTAAATTATTTGATTTTCTTAACTCATTACTTATGTCATAACTTATGATATTATTTTTATAACTCATGATAACTTAATTATTAATTACCTTAACTCACAAATTATGTCATAACTTATAATAACTTATAATATTAATTTTGTAACTCATGTAATCCCTAAAATGAATAAGGGTTACTAACTTATGTATTAATTTTAATAATAAAAATCAAATAATTTATTAAATTATCATAAATCATATTGGTCAGTAACTCCCTTGATGGATGGTGGTTAAATAGAGCATAATTCAAAGAATGGGTCCCCTCTCTTCCTAACACACCGCGTACATTTCCCTTCATCAAAAAGTACAGAAAATTTCAAGGGATTACAGAGAGAAACTTCATCTCTTCAAGATCAAATTTTATCATCATGAATACAGGTATGCGTTACTTTTTTTAGATATGTAAAAATTATGAATTTAAAAATCTCGACTATTATGTATTTTAGAATTTATGTCATAAATGTTAAACATGAATTTCTAACATGTGGTATTAGAGTCTTGATTACTAATTTATGATTTTTCATATAATTTTATTTATGTTAATACTATTAAACTTCCGTCGTGAATTAGATCACTAATGTTAAAGTAAATTGATGTGATTGAAATTTTTATTTATTTGATGTCGATGTTATGTTTAATTTGTTAGTTTCCAAAGTGACTAAATAAATAAGTTTAATAGACATCAAATTAAATAAATTCAATTACTCACGAATATGTGATGTTTGTTACGAAATAATTTAACACTTCATTACGAAAATATTAAAATTCATTGATTATAAAATATTTATAGATCGCTCAAAGGTTAATCATTTATTTTATAATTTTTAAACATAATTGTAGTATATTTATATACTTAAGTAAGATATGTTTATATATCTAAACACAATAGACATGTTTAATTCGAGTATAAAATAATTATCAATTATATTAAATTTAAGTCAAGCATCAATTATGCTTATTATCGTATATTATTATAGCACCGAAAGATAATTTCAATACAATATTATTATTATAATTATTATTTTAATATGATTTTATATGGATATCTATGCATGTTTAACGTTCGAAGCATTAATGTACGAGTATGTTTTATTTATTTTGCAGTAATTGCTCATGTTTATCTTCATTCACAAGCTACATCTATTCAAACTTTCAATTGACTTAATTTCTCTGAATGACATGTGTAAGTTCAGTTTCACATTAGTGTTCTGGATCTTGATTTGGCACTTGCAACTAAGATATTCTCTGCTCTAACTGATTACAGCAGTGTTGAGCAAATATATTTCTATAAAGCTTCAAAAAAATCAAACATATTAACCTTAATGTTTATGCGAATGATTGTAGCGAACAACATAAAGTGTACATTTTCTAACACTGAAAGTGCTAAGAAATTTTTGAAATTTGCTGAGAATTGTTCTCAGTCTGACTCTGTTGATAAGTCTCTTTGTGGGACACTATTAAACACTTTAACCAACATGAAATTTGATGATTCACGTACTATGCATGACCATGTCGTTGAAATAATGAGCATAGCAGCAAGGCCAAAGACCCTGGGAATGTAAGTGAATGAAAATTTCATTGTGCAATTTATCATTAACTCCTTGTCTCCTGAGTATGATTTACTTCACATGTACTACAACACTATGAAAGACAAGTGGAATGTGAATGACTACAATGTATGCTCATTCAAGAGGAAGCAAGGCTTAAGAAATGAATAAATCACTCTATTAATCTTATGAGACACCAAAGAAGAGTTGTAAAGAAATCTGGAAAGATGAATGAAAATGACAAATAAAGCTCACTAAAGATTAATGCGTTATCAGCCCCAATTCACAAAGAGGAACATAAAGAAATTAAGTGTCATTTTGCAGAAAGCATTGACACTATCAAAATGAGTGTTAAAAGCGCAAAGACTAATTCAAAAAGAGAGGTAAACATTGTGTTTCTGTATGTTTCGAATCAAATTTGGCATAAGTCCCTTATAATACATGGTGGATTGACTCTGGTTGTACCACTCATGTTTCTAATACGATGCAATGATTCCTTACAACCAAAATGAAAAGTTTGTCTTTATGGGAAACTGAGTCAAAACACCAGTTGAAGCTATTTGAACCTATCGGTTGATCTTAGATATTGGACATCATTTAGACCTTTTTTAAACACTTTATGTCCCTTCTGTTTCTTGTAATTTAATTTCATTGTCTAAAATTGATTATATTGGATAATCCTTTAAATTTGAAAATGGTTGTTTCAGTTTATTTAAACACAATCATTTCATAAGTTATGATATTCTTTATGATGGTCTATATAAGCTTAAACTTGATAATCTTTTTGTCGAAACTCTTATGACTTTGCATCATAATATTGGTATTAAATGAGGTTTTATGAATGAAAGTTCAACTTATTTGTGACATAAACGTTTGGGTCAAAAATCAAAAGAAAGAATTAAAAGATTAGTAAAGAATGAAATAATTAATGAATTGGATTTTACTAATCTTGGCATCTGTGTGAATTGCATTAAAGAAAAACACACAAATCACACACTTAAGAAAGCCGCCACAAGAAGCACACACCTCTTTGAAATTATACACACTGGTATTTGTGGACCTTCTGATGTTCCATCTTTTGATGGAGAGAAATATTTTATCACCTTAATTGATGATTTTTCACGCTATGGGTATGTATACTTATTACATAAAAAATCCCAAGTTATGGATGCCTTAAAGGTGTATATAACTGGGGTTGAGAGACAATTAGATAGAAAAGTGGAAATTATCAAGTCCGATAGAGGCAGTGAGTATCGTGGAAGTTACAATTAAACTGGACAATGTCAAGTTCCATTTGCTAAATTTCTTCAAACCAATGTCATATGTGCACAATACACTGTGTCAGGAACACCACAACAAAATAGTGTTGCAGAAAGACGAAACTGTACTCTAATGGACATGGCTAAGCGTATGATGAGTAATTCTTCTTTATCCTCATATTGTGGATGCATGCTTTAAAGACCGTAGCATATTTGTTAAACAGGATTCCTAGTAAGGTTGTTCCAAAAACTCCTTTTGAACTGTGGACAGGAAAGAAACCTAATTTAAGGCACTTGCGTGTTTGAGGTTGCCCAGCAGAATTAAGGTTATATAATCCACACGAAAAGAAATGAAACTTAAGAACAACCAGTGGTTTCTTCATTGGTTATCCAAAAAAATATAAAGGATATAAATTTTATTGTCCTAATCACAATACAAGAATTATTGAAGCTGAAAATGCCAAGTTCATTGAAAATGATGAAGTTAGTGAGAGTTTGTAACCACATAAAGTGGAAATCCAAGAAGTTAGGGTTCAAGTTCATTTACCCAAAATTTATTCTCAATTTGTTATTCTTACAGTTGTTGAACAATTTGACAACTTAGAAAAATAACAGATATACGATCAAATACGACATAATGAAACTGTCACTAAAGAACCTACATTAGATGAACCACATGAAGTAGTACCTAGAAAGTCTCAAAGACAAAAATGACCTGCTATTTCTGATGCTTGTGTGGTTTATTTACATGAATCTGAGTTTGATTTAGAAGTCAATGCAGATCCAATTTCATTTTCACGAGCCATAAAAAGGTGTAAATTCCTCTAAATGGTTAGATGCAATGAAAGATGAGTTGAAATCGATGAATCACAACAAAATCCGGGATATTGTTGAATTGTCTGAATGTTGTGAAAGAGTCAGGTGTAGATGGGTCTTTGAGACTAAGCGCGACTTGAATGATAATATTGAATGATATAAAGCCACATTAGTTGTTAAACGTTTCACTCAGAAAGATGACATCGACTATAGATAAATAT